GCCTACTTTAGCTTCTACGCTGGGTATGGAGTTTTAGGGTTAGACGGGTATGCGCCATCAAGCAAATTAGGTTAGATGAATGAATAGGATCTTATAGTGGACGAGGCAACTGTACCACTGCCATAGGATGGCCTTCCTAGATAGAACCCGAGATGAAACCTCTGTGTGGATGGTGAGTAGTACCCATTGAAATGAGCTATGTTGTTTATGCCTCAGATACGATAGCCTAGATTGAGGTGACTGACATGGGTTTATGGGAGGCGTACTCGGAGGCATGTGGATAACCACAGAAAGCCCACGGAAAAGAGGTCACGCACCACATTCACTAAACCCGACTTTTTTAAACATTGAATAGTAGACCTAGACTAGGGTGAGGGATACTTCCCCGAATTACGTTCTTTTATCGTTATTTGTTCTCTCTACTAGTTATTTCTTGAAAGGGTGGTATTTTCGTAATTTTTTAGTTTTAGAGAGTATTTCTGGAAAATTTTCCAATTTGTACTCCTCCTCCATTAGGATTTTATGAGTTAGGTACGAGGGATCGATCTTGTGGATATCAGTTGTCTTCCATGCAATAGCTCTCTTAGGTTTCGAGAGTAAAGCCATCAATCACTCGTTCTGCTCAAGGGTTCGAGTGGAGCTAATGATCACATGCAGTTTGGAATCCTAGGCTAGGTAAGCATTTATTAGATGGGTGGGTAATGGTTTGATTCCAAAGCAGGAGGCTTCTCGTAAGAGGTCATAAGTGTAGGAATCGTTGGGTTTTTTGCCAACTCTTCTTCCTTCTCTAGTGCATTGCCTTCACCTTCCAAATATTCATATTTTGATTATTGTTCCAATCGTTCTCCTTCTCCCCTAAAAGAAGAAACCGAGCATACCTCAAAGGGGTCATCATAGAAACATGCAGTCATATTGATTGGTATCCACGACAACAAAATCAACTGGCAATGTAAATGGTCATACATCTACCATAACATCTTCCTCATGCCTCTAGGTTGGTGCGAGGATTTATCTGTTGATTGGATAATTATGCATATGGGTGTTGGATTCCCTAAGTTTAGTTTCTTACACATGCAATATGGCACCATATTAATGTTGGCACCTAAATCAACAAGACTTCCAGAACCTTTAAAAGTTCCAATAGTGCAAGGTAAAGGGAAACTTATTTAGGGGGTAAAAAACTATATCTATGGGGTTTTAGGGGGCCATTTTAGCTCGTATTTAGGGGGTTTTAAGATGGGGCTAAATTGGTGAGAGCTCAAATGGTGGGGATTATTTTAACTTTTCTTTGTTTTAGTACTTAAATTGAATACACTTGTATAGTTGTGACTTCTTTTAACTAATGAAGTTCCTTTCGTTGTAACTTTCAACCGTTTGAATGTTATTTGAAAACAAAAACAAAAAATATATTTAAAAATTGAAACGTTCATCCATTTCAACTAAAAAAAATGTATCTCCGAAATTGTTCAAAGTCTTGGTAATTTTGATGAACAATGTTCATTTCGATGTAATTTTCTTCCATTTCAACTAAAAACAAAGTATCTCCGAATTTTTTCAAATTTTATCGGAATGTTCGTATTCAAGTATTGTGAATGAATATATAAATTTTAAATTTAAAAACATAAGTTTAACTATTAATAAGTTAGGATTACTAAATACGAAATAGAAAATTTTAGTCATCAGGGTTGAAGCTGTTTCTGTTTTCGAGAGGGATAAAAGGCTAAAATAGCATTAAAACCTCCAATTTTTGCCCCTCGGGTTGTGGTTAGCCTAACAATGAAACCAAATTTTTATGCGTTGTAAAACATAGTCAAATTTAAAAGAGTAGATGCAAAGTCGGGAATGGATCAGGTCAGTAACCTTATCGTGAGTAACCACGAGTAACATGTCCACATCAGCATGACATCAGCATCCATCTCTCTCTTGGAAAGCCTTTAATTTTTCCCTCTTTAATCTTTGATGGACGATTTCTCACTCGTTTTAAGTCGAAATTTAATTTTTTTGCACAGTTAGATCATATTAATTGTGCTCTTCAAAATCATATCCACTTTGATATATTTTTCGAACAAAAAAAAATTGAGCCATTTTTTATCAGTCTATACCATATGGTATTTACTGGCATTGAAATAAGAGCATACCTATGGTTTGAAAAGCGTACCATGGTGGTATGAACAAACCAAGACTGTTGGATGGTTGAATACATGATAGTAGAAGTATATTAACTGTCATTTACGACTTTTAACATTGTGTACCACAATATACCACCCCGTACCAGGGTGGTATTGTATGGTATTGTGTGGTATTTTTTGGTCATGTAATTTGTTCACCCAGAAATTTGTAGATCCAATAGATCATGAATGAACTCGTTCCTTCTGTGCAAACGTTTTAAAAAATGAATTAAAAACGAAAAATATACCATATGGTATGCAGTTGGTACCGAGAGGCAAGAAATTTTTTTTCTAAAAAAATATTGAAAATGTATCTCATTTTGTGCAAAAAAACAACGAACTCATTCCATCTGTGCAAAAAAAATTAAAATCCAAGTTAAAACGAAGAAGATATGAGCCGATTAAGAAACCTAGGGAAAATAAAAATGACTTTTAATTTTCCATCCTTAGATCTGAATTTTCTAAATGAAGGGTGCAGATTTAGTTATTGATAGGTGCATAATCCATGGTTATGCACCCTATCTTGAGCCCTTAGATGGAGTATTTTTTGGGAAGTGCTCACCTCTTTCTCTCTATTTGAGTCAGTTTTGTTCCTTTTCGCTCCACTGAACTTTCACAAATCTACTCACTTTGTGGCAGAAAACGCTCTTTCATCAGGAGTTCGGTTGCATACAGACTATCATTCTTTATTATTGTTTATCTTATATTGTTGTCCGGCCATACGATGTGGTCTTATCTTGGTTATAAAAAAATCATAATTTTGGTCTTCTGTCACCATTTTGGTATGCTCCCGATTCAACTCACGTTGAGGGTGGTTTCCATTTCTGGGTCGTCGAAATGACGCAAAAAATGCATAGTTCCTGGAAACGCCGCCCGAGCCGCCAATTGGGCTTCTAGTCGACTAAATTTGGTGTCGTTTTGGACTTTAGCTCCAATCTTCATTTCTTACTTCCAACAACAAAATCTTGACATTTTCAATATGTGTTAGGTGATCCGCTATGATACTTTTATCTGAAATGCATGAAACACTACCCAAAAAGGGCATCATAAGGGTAAAGGTAATCCTAAGAGCTACTGAGCACACTTTAGAGTTTAGAGCATCCATCAAGCAATTCCAATTTATTATGGCATTAAAATTTGAAAACTACATGACATTAAATAGGGATTTGAAATAGTATAATTTACATGTCATAAGTTGTCTTGTGTTCTTGATTTAAAATCAGCTAGAGGTACTCTGACTTACCATCCTATGTGCAATAGGATTAATCTTACACATCTATGTTTTGCCGATGATCGATTGATCTTTACGGATAGGTAAAATTATGGTGGGCAGTGTGTGCAACGAGTTTTGGATAAATTTGGGGTTAAGGTTAAATTAAGGGTTAATATTTTGTATGACCCAAACTTTTCACAAATTAAACATCCTCACCAATCTTTTCGATTTATAACATTGTGGCCTCAACTATGCATCAAATTTATGATATTAGCCAAACCCAAGATTTGACCATTATCTTGGACGGTCAAACGCTTTGACTAATGGTCAACGCGCCACGTCATTGCCTAGTAGCACAAATCACTTAGAATTTTGGATTTTTTCACCTATTACAATAAAAAAGATAAATGGTAATAGGTGAAAAAAACCAAAAAATTTAAGTGGTATGTACTGACTTGGCAGTGACATGGCGCGTTGACCGTTAGTCAACGCATTTGATCGTCCAAGATAACGGCCAAATCTCGGGTTTGGTCAATTTCGTAACTTTGATGCATAATTGAGGTCACGATGTTATAGATCAAAAAGATTGGCCAGGATATTTAATTTGTGAAAAGTTCGGGCCATACAAATATATTAGCCTTAAATTTAAAAAAAAAGTGAGATTATTTGTGGACTACAACTTGAGTTGGAAGAGACTGATAATGAAGGATGGGTATATGTTATGTAAGACTTTGTTGGATAAGATCACTACACGAATTTATGGGTGGAAAGTGAACTCTTTGAGTTATGCGGGGTTGGTGGAACTAATCTCTTATGTTATATATAGTCTTTCTCATTTCTGACATTTGGTCTTTACTTTGCCTAAAGCTGCGAAAAGAGAAGTAGAAAGGAAATGTAGTGATTACTTGTGGGGTGTCCATTCTGGAACTCGCCTCAGGGCTGTCATTGTATGGCCTCATCTTGCTTATCCATAGGTAGGTGTTTGTGATCCCTACTCCTAAATCTTCCATGTACGGCTAGATATATTTGGTTGATCTTACTGCAACATGGATCGATGTGGGTTGCGTGTGTTCATGAACACAGGATTAAAAGAGGTGATTTGTGGACGTTGGCCTCTTTTGTTGGCTCCTGCAACAAGAATAAAGTAGTAAAGTTGAGATATAAAAAAAATGCAGAGATTCTTCTTGTATGAGCCTCTATTGCATAAATTCAGAACGAGATCAGGCCGCAACGACAGGATGTGCGATGGTATCGGTTGGTCCAGAAAGCTTGTAATCAGCCTCGAAATCATTTTATACTATGGCTAGTAATTCAGGAGCATGTGCAGACTAGAGATAGAATGATTAAATGGTGATGACATTGACTGGAATCTCATGACCACTTGTTTTTTGCTTGTCCTGTTTTCTATCAGTTTGTTCATGAACTTTTCTCACACAGGTTGCTAATATCCCTGGAACTGAAGGAGAGCAAAATTAATTGGGCTATGCACACTGCACAGTTTCAAAGGAAAAGCAGGTTATGCACGTGTTGACTGAGTAATTTGGAGCTCCCTTGTGAGCTGGATTTGGAGAGAGAGATGCAAAGTTGTTATAGTTTGGGGAACTTGTGATCTTTCCTCAGGTGGCAAAGGCTTTGTTACCCCAACTGGTTTGTTCTGATATAAATACAAACTCATGCATCATCGGAAAAAGAAGAAGAAAAAACCTTTGCGGGGTGAATTATCTTTCTAAGGGGACCATAGACCATCACGCCTGCGTTAAACTAATATGCATACATCATGCTAAGGGATCAATAAGAGGGATGCTCTGGAGGCCAAACCCCTAATTAATATACAGCAGTAGAGTAAAAACTGTGCTGGCCAGTACGATGGTTCCCAAAAATTAAAAAAAAAAAAAAGCATAAAGTTTTAGTCCCTGTAATTATAGATTCAGTCTTCATCATCCTCATCCGCATCTTCCTCCTCCTCATCCTCCTCTTCTTCTTCTTGCTCTTCTACTTCTTGCTCTTCCTCATGAGGTGCTTCCTGCAAGAAAATTAAACAAGGAAACCGCAAAAGGTTAAATCATCATGAACGGAGATGGGGAAAAGAGTCAACTATATCAAAGATTAAGGGACGGGCAGCACAACCTTTGTAGCAGGAGCATCCTCCTCATCATCATCATCATTGACCTCGGACTTCGACCTGTCCGAGTCATCTCCATGAACAGCATCACTCTCCTGCTATGTAGTGTTTTACAAGATTTTAAACGTGAAGCCGGGAGAGATAATGTTAACTAGACGGAGAAATGAGTATTGTACGGATTACTACCCTACCTTCTTGTTGTTGTAAGCATCCATGAGTTTTCCATACTCATCCTTCTTCTTCCCAGCTTTGGCTTCATATGGAGCCTTTTCCTGCAATTACAAATTTCATTATATCCTCGGCAAGACGAAGGAACCACAATCAGTTACAACACTCACAGTGACTAAGGAACAACTTACAGCAGCAGACATCTCCCTCCACTTCTGTCCACCGGCCTTCCCAACCTTTGAGCCACACAGACAAATTCTACCAACAGTCAGATACTAAGATGGTGAAGTTCATAACATAAGAAGGTTCAATAAGTTACCGCAGATACAGCATTGGCATTGGGATTCTCCTTCTTGAATGTTTTCCTGAACTCCTCACTGTGACAAAAGGACCAGTATCAGAAATCCCACAGGAAAACCCTACCGTACTCATTAACCAGCAGTAAACTTGCACTTTGTATTGTGTCTAATGCGTACAGGAAGACAAAGAAAGCAGTGGGGGGCCTCTTCGGCTTATTTGGGTCTTTCTTGGCCTTCTTATCCTTCCTAGCTCTCTGCTTGTCACCTTTGTCCGCTACAGAAACAGGCGCAGCCTTCCTCTTGCTGGCTTTCCTGAAAATAATTAGACAGGTAATACAAGAATTCATACAAGCATTTGGCAGTGGAGAATCCATAATCCACTAGTTAACCCTAGCAAGTCAAATTAGATTGTGAAATTAGCGATTGAGCTGAACCTGTCATCTACAGGCACAGCTTCCTTGGTAGCTTTGGATGTCCCCTTACCCCTGGCAGACTTCATCATGGTTTGTCTGCATCAGAAAACCATGATCAATTACGAGAAGAAAAATAGGGGTTTCGTGATCGCAGCAGGACATGACATCAAGAGCTTCAGAGATTGATGAACTGGCTAGGTCTTGAGAGGAATAAACCAAATCGACTTAAGGAGCTTTCTGTAATATGAGCTTTCAAATAGAAAAAGCACGAGAAATCAACCAAACATTAAGCAAGCTGAACCACCAGTTAGTAATAGTCGGAGCCTCTGAACATCAGAATCGCAGCAACCGCAAAGGTGCGAGACACGAACTCAGAAATCAAGTTGAAAACACCATTGAACGATTCCCTACTGTATATGCTACTCAACCAATCCACCAGAGTTCTAATAAACGAAGCAGAATTTCGACGATGGAATCCCTCCAGACTTGGAAGACGATTTAGAAGCATACAATACGATCGAAAGAACGATGCAAGGAGATAACGATAAAATACGAAAGGAATAACGAGAAAGGGCGAAAGAGTTCCAAACTAACTCCAACGAATTCAACTTCGTCGCTGCAATAGTTGTCAGCAACCAAACAACAACCACAACACAATAAAACCTAGCGACGATGGCCCAAAAGAAGAGGGAGAAAGTTCACCTACCAGCGGCGGAGCGAAGCGAGAAGCGATAAGCGAGGGTTGATCTCTCCCCTTTCTTCTCTGCGAGGCGAATAGTACAGAGCCAAGAGTCCTCCCAGTAACAAAACAGGGAAACGAACGCTACCCGGAGAGACAAATAAATCGAATGAGAGGACTCGGAGGAGAGGGAGGAAAGATCCCTTCCCTACTCTTTTTCCACCGTTGGAATAGAAAAGGAAAAAAAAGGATTCTACCAAAAACCCTAAAATATTAATTAGCGTTGATTAACACTTCCAGTACTGGCTAATTAAATTCTTGACTAAAACCCAATTATTTTCCATATAATGTTCACAAAAAAAATATCTCCTTCTTTCTATAAAATGATTTAAAGTCCCAAACAATATTTGGCATAGTTTAGAATTGAATTAAATTAAAAACAAATTCAGTTGCATTCTTATTAATTTCGCGCAAAAATAATATTCATTTGAAATTCATATTCTAAAAAATGGATTTGGTCCCATAAATAGAATATCAAAATTGTTCACGTGTGTTTTTATTTTATTCATTAGTTCTTTTCTAATATTTCGTCGATAGGAGAAACTCTTGGAAAGACTGCAGGGGTGGAAAAGGAGAACCCTCTCGTGGGCGGCTAAAGAAACCCTGATCAAATCGGTAGCCATGGCGTTGCCCTTGCATGTGATGTCCTGTTTCAAGCTGCCTCTGGCCCTTTGTCGCCTTCTCGATAGGCATGTTGCCCGATTTTGGTGGGGGGATGATAATAACCATTCGAAAATCAGATGGGTTGCTTGGCGGGACATGTGCAGGAGCAAACATGAGGGGGGGATGGGATTCCGACGGTTTGAGCAATTTAACCAAGCCCTCTTGGCTAAGATTGGCTGGCAAATCCTCCAGGAGCCCCATTCTTTGCTTGCCCAAGTTTACAAAGGGAAATACTTCCCACAAGGACACTTCCTAAATGCGAAGACTCGCTCGCGTCCTTCTTGGGGCTGGCAGAGTGTTCTTCATGGGAGGGATCTCCTGGAGATGGGGCTTCGTTGGCAAATTGGGAATGGTTGTGCGGCTTCCATGTTGCACTCAACTTGGGTTCCCCAGAATCAGTTTGAGCCTATTCGTTATAACCCACTAATCTTGTCGGTGGGAGGGGATCCCCCGGTCTCGGAGCTTATCTGCCAAGGAGAGGGCCGCTGGTGTGACGCAAAATTGGAGCAATGGTTTGATCCTGCCACCTGTCGAAATATTAAAGCTATTCCCCTTCCGTGTGCGAATGTGGAGGATCGCCTGATTTGGTTTGATACAGCAGATGGTGTTTTTTCGGTGAAGTCTGCTTATCATCTGGCGGTCGCACTAGATAGGAGAAGGGGGCGCTGGAGGGCGGGGGTAGATTGGATGGATCGTCAAAGCTGGATCCGCCTTTGGGGGGCGAATATTCAGCCAAAATTAAAGGTGTTTCTCTGGCAGATTTTCCGTCGTGTCTTGCCTACTGCTGAGGCCTTACGGGAAAGAAAGGTGGGGGTTCATCCTCGTTGCCCGATATGTTGGGAGGAAGAGGAGACTATGGAGCACTTATTTTTGGATTGCCAGATCGCTAGAGCCCTTTGGGGTGCGGCGGGGCTAGAGCATATCGGGGAAGGGTTGCCACGGCACTCTTTTCCCCTGTTTCTGAAGAAGGTTTTGAACCTCATCCAGAGTCCTGCGGTATTCATGGCCATAGTAGCTGTCCTCTGGCGTATTTGGCGGTCGCGTAATTGGGTAGTGTTTGAAGGGAAGCAATTTACAGTGGAGGTGTTGATGCGCCAGTTTACTCAGCAATATGAGGAATGGGTAAGCCTCCCGATGGATAGGACGAATGCGGCCCAGTGCACGGAGGAGGTGCGTCCGTTGAATCAGGGTGAGGTGCCGGGGGTGATTTGCGGTTGGGATGGGGCGGTTCGGAGTGGTTCGCATTCTGCTGGAGGAGTGGTTCTAATGACTCCATCCCGAGAGCTTATCATGACTGCTGGGATCTGTTTTCCTGTCATTGATGATCCTCTGGTGGTTGAACTTCTGGTGTTACGGGCTGCGATTCGCTGGTGCATGGATTTGGGGCTTCCTAGTGTGTGTTTCGAGGGGGATGCCAAGGTTGTCATTGAGAAGATCCGGCTGAGGAATGTTAGCGATGGCAAAATTGGGGCTATCTTGGAGGAAGTGCTGCATTATTTATCTGGCCAGCAGGGGTTTTTTGTTCGGTTTATAGGTCGGCGTGCTAATAGGGTAGCCCATTTAGTGGCTCGTAAGGCCCTCTCTCTGTACCCGGCTATGTACCGCCACTTTGATTTTCAGACCTGGCTGCTCTCCAGGATGTAACTATCTGTTTGATCTAATATATGATTACCTTTTGTTAAAAAAAAAAACCCTACACTCTAGTTGTGACTTCTCAAAATACTGATACAATCTAAGTAGAAATATCAAATAGCCAGCGTATGCTACTAGCATTGCAACCAAATAATTGTCGACGTTCCTTTTACGGCATGAGTTTGCATCAAATAATATATGTATAAGTATTTAGTTAATAAATTAGGATAATTATGTCATTTTATTATAATTAGTAAATACTTGTGGATTTCATCTGGAAATTCCTTCTCAATTTCTCAGAATGGCTATAACTAGTACCAATTCCGTAGAATCAAAATTTAGAATTGAAAATAAATTCTTTTAAATACCAAACACAAAAAGATTTCATTTCAAAATGAATTCCTCGAAACTTATGAAATTCATTTATACCAAACGGTATGTCAAGGGTTAATAGTATAACTTACTCCTCTACTATTATATTTTTTTCAAACCTATTCTCGTAGAGTTGTATTATTTTCACATCAAACTTGCCACTCTACTATAATCACATTCTCATACAAATCCTCTAGTTACAATTTCTATATGGGTCCGTCAAATAAGTTTCGGCCATTGTTGGGCCAGTCAAACCTCCGTAAAACTAGAGGGTAAATGTCAATTGTACCCCTCCTACTCGAGAAAGACAAGTCACCACCATCCAGCCCCCAACCTTTTTCTTGTCATCCCCGACTTTGCCTTCTCTGTTTGGGCATCAGCTTCTCCTTGTCTCGGGCCTCTTCAGTTAGATAACGGCTTTGTTGTCAGCACTTCAATTTCCCAACACCCCCATTCGCCAATTTCCATTTCTCTTTTCCCAAATCGTCACTTTAAAAACTTAAAACTTTATTTCGATCTCCCAAATTTTAATGGGATCATGAAATGGCGGTGAAAGCGACAGTTTGGTGAACAAATATGGGTCCGCCCAACTCCATTTGTCTTCCTTCACCACCCATATATGAAGATTTTATGAGGGAAGTTTAAGTCATTCCTTTAAAATTTAAAACACCATATTTAAAATTGCACTAAGATATTTCTTCAGACGCGGAAGGCCACGAAGCGAACGCGGACGAGGAAGGAGGCGGAAGGATAGGTTTGTTTCTTTTGTGTGTTTTTGGTGTAGTTGGTGAACGACAGTAGTGTTAAATTTTCTTCTTGATGCTTAATGGGGCTTACAAGAAGAAGGTGGTTGTGGATTTAAACTGGGGATCAATATGTGCTCAAGCAATAATGTGGTGGCGGATATGAGGGAAGTGACGATCGAGGCACTTGGATGGAGAGATTGATGTGGGAACACTATTGGAGTGAGTGATGATCGCGAGCCTACGTGCTCCACTCCTAACTCCTAAGTCGTCATCGTCGTTCACGAGATGGAAAGGTGAGGAAGAAAAGGATCTTTGAGGGGCGGAGGGTAAGCTTTTCTGGTGGATTGGGGCATTTTGTTCGACAATTACTTGATAGAAAAAGGTGAGGACAATTGTCAGGGTAAATCGTCATTCACTTTATTGTCACCACGATCAAGCCATACTTGACAAAAACCGGACGAAAAACGTAACAGAAGGGTAGCTTTGAGATGTGGCAGTGATAGAGATAGAGGGGTAAGTTTAAAGTGAAAAAATAGTAGAAGGACAAGTTTGAGAAAATTTAATAGTAGAAGGGCAATTTATGCTATGAACCCAATACTTAACTATCGTATCATAGCATTATATAATTGTTTCATACTCCGAGAAAATAGGAGCGTTGCGCAAAGACAGGGTATCATATTAGAGATAAACACATCAATCCATATAACCATGAGATAACATTGATGCTTGTTTGGGACAGGTTACTGGAAATCTCGATCCATTACTTCCACCCTTGATGTTGTCATAAAGATCGGAAAGCATATTTAGAAGCCTCTACGTGTGAATCAAGCCACGACAACAGGTGCAAGAAGTGACTATGCCTAAGTGTGATTCAAGTCAACCTTACCAAACCACTCTTGTTGTAGTTTAAGATTAATGGAATCAATCACTTCATCTAGTATGAAGGCCTCAAAAAAATCTCTCTATAGTGTTATGAGCGTGCACGATGCTATTGTACCAAACCAATGTAACCTATGGAAATGTATGGCATTAAGACACAAGAGACACCAAAAGCAACAGACCCGAAGAACATGTATGGGGAACGTATGATTGTCAAGCGTAAGCCTCTCACAACACGCAAAGATGACAATACGTGGGTTCATGGTTTCATGGTTTCATGGTTTCAAGTCTTAATTGATGAGGAGGTGATGGATAAAGCCTTATGCGAACAACTGAATCTTCTTCAAAGAATGACAAAGTAGAGAGGATATGGTGACAACACCATATATGTTGCTGTAGAGACAATAACATAGGGTAGCCAATAAGAAGCGACTATTGTGCATACTTTTCATTCCACTAGTTGATTAGGTTTAAAATCAAATGAGGGATACTTTTGCCATATTGAGAAAATATGACTTACTCAGACTACACCACGTTTCTCTCTCCTCGTTGTATTTTGTGCAGTTTTTCTTTCAATCGCCAGATGTCAACGCCGGATGGAACTACGGATCGCAGCTTACGCTGCGACAATGGCGGAACGAGCTACTACCAATTGAAGCACACAAAGCGGCAACGATGAAGACACTTTTGATAGCAAACACAACAGCCGCAACTATGGAACTATCTACATATCCAAGCTAACGCATCAGCGATGACGCAAATGCAACTTAACATCCAACCAACCATAGTAGCATATCCAACGACAACGAAGTAATGATTTACTGATTAAAGAAAATGAACCGGCGACGACGGAGCCAACTACATATCTAATCATCCAGTGCAAAATGATGATGACGAAAGAGCGAACTATAGATCCA